GTAGCGGATCCTGGGTTAGAGTGCCCTTGCCCTCAAGCTATCCGTGGGAGGTTTTCGCGGTTTTCTTCCCCATGTGACGCAAATGCAGGGTTATTCCATCAAAAAGACCACCGCGAAGGTAAATTTCTCTTAATACTTGATACAGGAGTTCCTTTGTTTTCTGGATTGGGTTCAAAATTACAAGGCTACATAATGGAACATGGGTAGTTGTAAACCCAAATATTGGGTCGGCTGTTCAACGACTGTTAAAAATAAAATCTGAAGTGTTGTAAGAAAATAATAGATCTCTGTATCCAAAATATTGACTGCCAAATTGTAATAAGAGAGGATTAAAATAGTAATAAAGATTGGGTTAGGATTATCAAACTCATTCAGTTGTCCATTCCTGGTGATTTTTAGTTTCTGTAAAAAAAAAAATGCAATAAGTCTTAACAACTTTTTAATGAATTTAGATATAAAATATCTAAAAAATTTAGCTTCATAACCATTATATCATTTGGAAAAATAGAACACGCATTTTATCTGTCTCAAATATTCAGTAAAAAATAATGAAATTGATGAAGGCCGATTTAAATGTTTACATTTTTAAAAGTATCGGAAATATGAGGCTCATAAAGGAAGTGCATGAAACATAAGCATACTTTGCACCAGCTACATCAGGCAAACACTCCGGATGCACATAGTTTTCTGAAACGTTTAAGAGCTTGCGATTTGCATCCCTAAACTTTTTAAAAACACATTTTTGAATTTCACCAAATGTATGCATTTTATCCCCAGAAAAGTAGATTTGCTTTTACCACATACAAGGTTTCTCTGGCAGAGTCTTGGTACGAACCTGCGCAGGGCCGCCTCGAAAGAAGGAGGCTATTCAACTGTAACTCCTCCTTCTTTCGAGGCGGCCCTGACCTGCGCCCCATCTCTTGAGGCCTATCGCAGCTGCAGGTCTTTTCAAATTTCCGAATGTCCTATTTTAAAAAGGGGTGGACTTGTTATTACTTACCCGAGTTGGACACAAACCACGATCGGTGAACGACGCATGCTACGTCCTATTAATGATGTGTGTATGAAGTAATGGGTGTATGAAGGTAATCCTTGGATTAAGCGAGATTTCAAGTGAGTACTTTACCCTTTTTCATTGAAATTAGTACTTTATTGTGACCGATTGGACTTAGCCATTTTGTTTTGTATCTTTCTAAGTGTTAGGGGACCGACTCCAAATTGACATTTTGACTTTCACGTATTGGGGGTCGTCCCCATATCGCAACTTGAACACTTTTTGGGGATCGTCTCCACATTGCAAGTAGTGAACCCGTGTGTTTGATATTGAAATCTTGTTATTACTTACCCCAAATACAACCGCTGAGTAAGATTATTGATAAACATATACCTGTCTTAATCAGCTTGAAATGTGTAATTATTATTATTTTTTTTCTGCCTTGATGGCTAATGGGATAGAGCGTTCGCTTTCCGCGATGAGGTGAATCGGGTTCGAATCCCTGAGAGGGATTCGATTTGTGTTGGATGGATTTCATTTTTACTATTCCCCCTCCATTTAAGTTTAAAAAAATTAGCAAGATATTATTTAGGTTGAAAAGTTTTGTTGAGTAAATTGCTTATTTTTCGAAATTCGATTTTTTTCAAAAACTTTTTGAGCGTCACGCTAGAACTGCAAAATGGGCTATTGGCGACGGTATGGGAAACATTCCTGAGGATGATCTGAAGGCATGCCATCCCAAATTTGATCCTCTGCAGAAGGGATGGCTCCCTTACTTTGGTATCCCACTGACCTGCGCGTGAAGTCGAGCACTTTAAGGTAGAACAGTTTACCGAGAACCAATACCGCGCACCCTCTGTCCCTATGCAGGCTGATCAAAGTGGTCAACCACCAACTTACTGACAGCAGCCAGTGATGCTTGACTTCTGTGTTCTACTGGGAACCATGTCTTTACGATCAGTCCACTACGGGACGAAAAAAAGTTAATTTCTTAAATACTGGGGTAGCAGTAAAATAAGAATTTTATTTTATAACCTTCGTTGAACAGCCGACCCAATTTTTTGGGTTTACGACTACTAATGTTCAATTCCGTAGCCATGTAATTTTGACAAGGGAAACAAGGGGACTCCTGACAAGGAGAGGACAAGGGAACTCCTGAATCAAGTATAGGGAGACATTTTCTTTCGTGGGGGACTTTTTGATGGAACTAACCCGTATTTGTGTTACGTGGTGAGGAAAACAACGAAAACCTCCCAAGGTGAGAGTGGCGGCAAGGGGACTCTAACCCACGATCTGTCTACAACTAAGGATAATTTAAGTCAGCACTGTGGTGTAAGCCCGGATGCCGGTGAATCCCATTCATTCACAGATTGTAATTTTGACCTGAACCAGAGAACAATCAATCTTCAATTCAGTACCCCTAGAGATATTGATTTGTTCTGAGAACTTGGAGGACTTTGTTACCTCAATAGATTTAACGTGCACCAGTCTTCATTTAACACAAGGGGATTCTTCGGGTGGTGGGATTCTAATTAAAGTTGTCACGAACACGAGCCTGACATCCTACCATCCAGGCTATCCCAGCCAATGGAAATTTCATAAAATATTTTGTTAAAAAATAAAAAATAGCAAACTTAATAAAATTGACATGATTGACTTTTTAATTGTTTTTGTTTTCACCATTTAAATTTCTAATTTTTAGTAAACTTTTGATTTATAACTTTTGAACTTCAAAAACTATAGATGAAATTGAAACAGTTTATTTTCCCACAGCTAAACAAAATTTTGCTTTCGTAAAAAATTGTTGCAAATATTTTTTTCAAAAAAAAAAATTCATGTAAAAATCAGAATTTGTTAACTGCGTGCATTTTCAAACGCAATGATTGAATTCGTTCCACTTAAAGCAACTATTTGACAGTAAAATCACTTCTGCAAAAAATTAATTTCAAGATTAGTATTTCAGGCCTCTTAAATAACGACTCAGGCCCCCGACTCTTTGCAAAAGTCTCTAAATATAGAAGTCTTTAGAATTTTCTAATGAGTCTGTCATATTTTAGACTTTTGCATACCTTTAGGGCAATTAAAAAAATCTAGCTTTATTTATATCAGGAAAATTGCAATAAGCCCAAAGTAGTGAAGGCTTATGGTAAATGACAGCTTTGAATGTTCATTGCAATAAGCATAAGCTAATTCAATCGAATCAAGCAATTCTTCGCGCTCATTTTAATTTATCTAGAAGCATAGAGGCTAATTATAATAAGTTTAAGGGGAATCGGTAGGGCATGTACCAATAATGCTATAATTGACCTTTTTCCATGTACCTTTTCTTTGTAAGATATAGCTTCAGTTTTTTTTTTCGCTGAGTATTTACATATACATGTTTGCACTGCTTATATTATTACATAATTACATTTTACACTGCTATACATATTACACTGTATATAAATGTTTTACATAAACTGTCAATACATATTTTTGGCAGAATTTTTTTTAAAATTATGAACTGACAAAATTTACTTTTTTTTCAAAATTTCATCAAAAATGATTCATAACTCAAAAAGTATTCCTGCTAACGCTAAAACATTATCACATCATACAACTGATACACTATCTGGCCAAAAGTATCCGGACACCCAGTGGTATGCACTATCTGGCCAAAAGTATCCGGACACCCAGTGGTATACACTATCTGGCCAAAAGTATCCGGACACCCAGTGGTATACATTATCTGGCCAAAAGTATCATCCCGACACCCAGTGGTATACACTATTCGGCCAAAAGTATCCCGACACCCAGTGGTATACACTATCTGGCCAAAAGTATCCCGACACCCAGTGGTATACACTGTCAGGCCAAAAGTATCCGGACACCCAGTGGTATACACAATACGGCCAAAAGTATCCGGACACCCAGTGGTATACACTATCTGGCCAAAAGTATCCGGACACCCAGTGGTATACACTATCTGACCAAAAGTATCCGGATACCCAGTGGTATACACTATCTTGCCAAACGTATCCGGACACCCAGTGGTATACCCTGTCTGGCCAAAAGTATCATCCCGACACCCAGTGGTATACACTATCCGGCCAAAAGTATCCCGACACCCAGTGGTATACACTATCTGGTCAAGAGTATCCCGACATCCAGTGGTATGGACTTAGAGCGTCCTGAAGCATGTATTAAAATGATATTGGTCCCCCTTTTGCATCGATGACAGCCTGCACACGTCAGGGAAGACTTTCCATCAGTTTTAGATAGGTGGCCATAGGAATTGACTTCTACAGGGTAACAAAAAAGTATAGGGATCACTTTTGTGGTTATCTACCACTAAAGTTTTAAAACCTTTTCACATATATAGCATACTGATCTAAAGCTCTGCTATTAGACTTTCAATTGCAATACTATTTCATAAAATCATAAAAATGCCTTTGAAGAAATTTGATAAAAAGCTAATTGGTCAAGTACAAGCATTTTTAGAACTTCGATGGAGCCACAGGATTATACAAACCCATTTTAAAAAGAAAGGTATTGCGATTTCACTCAGCCATATCAGTCGCATCAAGAATTCAAAACTCGGATCGATGCAAAATAATGCAGAACCAAAAAGAAGTGGACGGCCAAGCAAATTGAAGAAATCAGATTTGCAGAAGCTTGGTAAGATGACATCAAAACCGGATCCACCAACACAGGCATGCATGACTAAAGCTCTTAACGTGAGTCAGAAAGTTGTAAGCTATCAACTAAAACAAAAGTTGAAGAAAAAATGCCATAAAAACCTAAATGTCATCATTTAAGTGAGAGATTGGTGCAGATTAGGAGGCAACGTTCATGGCCCCACTACGAGCTTCTCTGTAAGGACAGATGACGAAAGTTCATTACAACTGATGAAGCTTGGATCTATCTATCTGATACCAATGCTAAATCTAAAGTTCAATATCTTAGCCGTGTGCAGAACAGGCTAGACTTGACACCATCAACCGCGGTGCCTCATCCCAAAAGTGTAATGGTTTGGATGGGCATATTCGCCCAGGGTGCGACCAAACCTCGGTTTGTGAAACCTGGGGCCAAAATAAATTCTGAGTATTTCATACAGAAGATATTAAAGCCCTTTCTTAAGGATGATTACTGCAGATTGTACCCTAATGGTGATGCTGTATTCCATCAGGACTCTGCCCCATCGCATGCATCTAAGGTCACCCAGAAATTCCTAACAAATCAGCAAGTGCAATTCCTGATACCAGAGCAATGGATTCCAAACAGTCCTGATGCTGCACCATGCGACTATTTCCTATGGGGACATCTGAAAAACAAACTGAATAAGCGAAGAATTTCTACATTGAGAGGCCTTCGAAGAGCTATTAGAGAAGAGGTGAAGAAAATCACCCAGAAAATTTTGCGGGATTTAAAATCATGGCCGAAGCGTTGTAGACAAATCCATTGTGCCGGAGGTTGACATATTGAGAAGCATCGCTGAATTTATGTAATGAATTTTGGAAATAAAAACATTCAAAAATGATCCCTATATTTTCTTGTTACCCTGTAGTTCAGTTGACTTCAGCTGAAGTGAGTGCTTGCAGTGATTTGGCTGTCTACGTAATCTGCGCTCTAATTCATCCCAAAGGTGTTCTATAGGATTTAGATCGGGGCTCTGAGAAAGTCAGTTCAGTTTTTGAACACCCATTTCGTCAAATCACATCTGTGCAAGCCTCTATGTGTGAATGAAGCAGTTATGCTGCTGGAAGAGAAATCGATATCTCCCGAAATATTGCCATGGAATTGGAAGTGCAACATTGTGCATAATGTCCGCATACATCTGAGAGCACATGTTTCCAACCATAGAAACTAACGGATCCAGGCCAAACCACGAAAAACACCCTCGCACCGTTATCTTAACACCATAACAACCGATACTTTTTGCCACATAGTGTAGAATCTCAAATGTCCCCAAATTATTTCAAAGTGATGTCTCAAGTAGTTTCTTAAAAAGGTGCATCGAAATAAGTCAGTTTTAGCATTATTGATATTTGCTCTATCGACTCCCCTTAAAAAATCTCAGGCAATTTCTAAATGCTAAAGGTTCTTCAAAGTAGCTTAATGCATTGTAAAAAGCCAAATAGATTTTCAAGGAGTATGAAATGTTAATTGACAAACGACAAATATGCTAACAGCTATTTACGTCTTTTTGAAGTTATACTTCTTATGCGACTTCCAACAAGGTTGTTGTTGTTGTTGTAGTTCATTTACTTCGAACTATGCGCAATGGGCTATTGGCGACGGTCTGGGAAGCATCCCTCAGGATAATCCGAAGACATGCCATCACAATTTTGATCCTCTGCAGAGGGGATGGCATCCCTGATTCGGTAGCCCGACAACCTGCACGCGAAGTCGAGCACTTTACGGTAGAACAGTTTAACGAGGACCAATACCGCACACCCTCTGTCCCTACGCAGACTGATCCAAGTGGTCACCCACCCGCACACTGACCGAAGCCAGTGATGCTTGACTTCGGTGATCTGCTGGGAGCCGTGTCTTAACGATCAGTCCACTGCGGGACCCAACAAGGTTGCGTTAAACGTTTAACGTTACATTTTTATTGGCCGGGAAATCACGTAGTAGGATCCAGATTTCCCTCATTCATTTCCATATTGTTTTGGTTCTCACTGGCATAAAAAAATAAAAGTATTGTTTTTCTATAAATATTTTAGTTTGATTAGATGCACATATAATTTAATAGGGTAGTATTTTTATTTTCAAACTTAGTGGATAACAATTGTAAAAAATGAGTGAAAACAATCTCACGGACAATACGACGGATTTAAGGTTATGTCAAGGTACGTCGCTTGTGAATATCAATTGATTGTTAGGTTTTCTCTTTTCTAATTGCCATTTACATTTCACCAAATGCAGCCATGAGGGATATTAAATTATTGATTGCAAAATCTTTAATGCCACTATCCACTGCAGGTTCACGAGCTCTGGCAGACGTTACTGGTGAAGAATGGGACTCCACGCACTATTTTTTTTTATTTAATAATTTTTGTTCCAACTCCCATAAAAATTATATAAACAATCACAAAATCGAAAAAATAGAGCATTATTTTGAGTTGACCTCTTGCCAGTGTCGCCCGAATCCTGTTCGGGCAACTACAACAAACTGACTTCGAACTAACTTCTACTACAAATTACGAATTGACAACGAACCGACTTCCCGTCGCGTAGCATGAACTCTGAGATGTATGGTGGACAATGCTGCACTTCCAATTCTATGCTAGACTGGTCATAGGTTAGAATTCCTTTACCGTCTGGCTAATCAAGTTATTTTTTGTGGTTTTTTTTCTCTAAGTGTAACGTAAATGCGGATTAGTTAAAAC